TCCAATACATATTTCCAAGGCATGTCTACACAAAGAGGTGCAAGTAAATCTACAGGGTGAGAATTAGTCTTACATCATTTCAGACAGAATAGATATCTATATCTTCATTATTAATTTAGATTCCCTTTATAGTTAGTGGAGAGAAATAATTGCTTGCAGGTGCATTTACTCTTCATCTCATGTAGGGTCTCTAAAATAGGTTACCTGAATTATTCAGTGGAAATAGGTTTTTCTCTCCTTTGTGTTTTCCTGTCTTTGGTCAGGTGAATCACCCCTGAGATCTTCTGTGCTGTGCAACATACTGGCCAGACATAAGGCACGTGCAGTTTCGAAGCAGCGTGACTGTGACTGTGTTAGTGTACTGAAGGATCCAAATTAATAGAAACTATTTTACTGAAGGATTTCTGAATTTATTCAGAGCACAGTGCTGGTCATGGCTTACAGTTTCTCAGCCATGTCAGGTGGCCTTAGGTCTGCTTATTTGCCTTTGTGACAGATCTTTTGTGTATCAGCTTCTACAAGCGTCTCTTTTTGATGCAATAAAAGCAATAAATTGCTCAATAAATTTAAGCAACTTAATTTTTTATAATATTCATTACCTTACTAATATATTCAAATCAAAGCAGTTTTTATATTAGTTAGATTTTCAGATATTTTTCTGCTGTAATATTTTGTTCTTCTTTAACACTTGGAACTGGTTAGACAAAGTAGTTTAAATCTGAATGGCTCCACTGGTCTGAAGTCAAACAGTTTTCATGAAATTACTTTCAGGGCACTTGTCTCCACTGCAGCTGTTATCAATATTTTCCTGGGTGTTAAGGCCCATGCAAACCAAGCTTCAAACCGATGACAGCTGCCTTTTGCTCTGCTGGTAGACAGGGCATGTTTGAGGGTTTAGGGGCAGGGAAAACTATAGAAATTGATTAGCCGGCTATCTTCAGATCATTAGGATTAGATACTTTCTGCTGTCCTAGAATGGGTAATTTTCAATATTGCAGTCTTTCTCTTGAGGGAAAGACTCTTTCTCCTCCACCCAGCTGTTGAGTTTTTATCACAAAGCAGAAGAAAGTTATTCTATCAGATTTGTTGAATTTTGGCTAATGAATTTGAAAGTTATTTGTTGGAAGCATTTATTGGACCTGGACAGACGTTACAATACCATAAGCCTTATTTCTTTAGAAATCCCATTTTAAAAAAAAGTATGCATGGGGGGAACAAAATAAAGACATTGGTTATCACTCTAGACGGAAACAACCTCTCATTTGGTGGGATACTAGTTTTATGCCTTTCACCGTCAGGGGTAAGTCCTTACTCTGCTTGAGTGGTTAACCCCTTCCCCTTGAAGAGTGTCTTAAGTGAGTTCTCTCAAACTCATTTCCCTTAAATATAGCCAGATTGATTCTCATTAAAACCCAAATTGTTAGTCCTCATCTTCTGTGGAATTAGATCTGAGAGCAAGTCTTCTAGCCTAGCTTCCTCCAGCTACTCGGCTGTTAGATTCGAACCTGCCAAACGTCAACCTTCTGCCGTAGAGAGTATCCTCACATTGGTCTCAGAAAAGCAGTACCTGCAGTGTTTCCTTCTCATTTTGGTCTAACAGCTGAGTTTTGAGTTTTCATGAAGTGCTTCGTGTCCCTCTCTCTCATGTGCTCGTGTCACATTCTTGAGGCACATACCACAAGTCCCTTGTCCTAGTTCCTGGATGCACGGTGCAAAAACCCTGGCTAATATTTGCCAGCGGGAGACTTCTCTCCCTCACTGGCATCTCATGTTGCCAGTGGTGCTGGTAGGTCATGTTAGCCAAGGGGTCATGTTAGCCAAGTTAATGCTGACAGATCACCTATTTTAGAATTGCCCGTTGTTGGGGAATGGAATGCCTGTGGTGCTAGTGCCCATGAAATTGCTCTGAATAGTAGACAAATGTTGAGGTAAAAGTGAAAAGAGCCTACTCAAGTGGAGAGCATAAGAAATCACTTGCTATATTTAGAGACAGATACAGAAAAGTGGAAGAGTTACAAGCCGATTGTTACTACTCATTCAAGTTTGGCTTTGTCACGGTTCCTTTTCCTCCGCATCCTTTTCAGCTAGCAGGCTCACGCCAGGCTAACCCCCAGGATGACTGGCAGTTCCTTGGCGCTGGGTCCTTCAGATAAGCTTTGCCTTTTAGTTTTTCCTTGCCCAAAATAGATTCAGATTTGTGATGAAGTCACCCTTTCTGTCCTTCCTATTCCTTTTGAGCATAAATGCACCCTTATAGCCTGCAATTCTTGATACATTTAACGGATTAAAAAGACATCAAGTTTTGTTTCTTATACTAATGACCTCATGGTAAAGAAGGCCTGTGGAATATGTGTCTTCCAGCCACGTGGATGTGACTTCACACTTAATTGACTTAACCTATTTACACAGTGCCATTCCCAGCAGACATGTAAGGGAGAAAGAATTACACTACCACTGTGCTTAACACTACAAGGTACAAAACAGAACTTCAAAAGTACTTGCTATATAAGTGGGAATGATGACTGAAGTTCATTGATATAACCAGGTATGATAGAAAACAAATCAACTGACTGATGGATGGTTGTACTTAAGGTACATGGGAGATACTGGAATAATGATGAACTTCCTGATGAAATTCAGATCCATGCCAGTGGCAAAGTGAATGTAGAGGAAGCCTGCAGCTTAGCACTCAGTGCAGAACATCAGTGCCTCAAGGCACTGATCACATTGATCATTGTGGTGACAGCAAGAGATGGGAATGAGCAGCTGAGACTTCTGCGATAGCTGGTAGGGGAGCATGTCCATGGAAGAACTTCATGAGAAGCAACCTCAGTGAGCTCTGGGCTGCCAGGTCCTTTTGTTAGTTACGAGAGTCAAGTTTTCCAATACGCTTTGTATTAGACCAGTGAGTGATTTTACTTTAAAATATACAAGGGATTGATGCATCTATCTGTCCAAATTCAGACAGACTAATTGAAAAGGATTTAATGTTGATAACAGTTTTAGAAAGCTGATTGCTTTTAAAGTGTTTTCAGATTGTGCCTGTGTAGCCGTGCACTATTGCTGACGGCAAGAGTTGCTTGTTCCTGCAGAAGGGCTTGTTTTTACTTACGAGTTAAGCTTTTTTCCAGCAGAAGAGACATGGACTAACGGTTTCAAAATGTCTAAAAAAAAGAAATTGTGAGATATTTCCAATAAAATTTAAGGTGTTAGAATGAAAAATTTCACTGTTCTAGTAGAGTCTCTCTCTTGTGTTTAATAATTGTAAAAGTGCAGAAAAAACAGTTGCTTCTGTTGAATAGGCTGCACAGTGCTTAAAAAAAGATGTAAAAAAAGTTTATGGGGTCTGTGAGTGTGGTCAGCTGCATGGACAGGGTGTTTCTCTGCACAGCTGCTTTGTTGTTTATCTGGGAAGTCATAAATATGAGAAGTACAATTTTTAAAACCATTGAGGTCTGTCAAACTGAAATATTAGAAAGTAAATAGAAGTGTTCCTAGGGTTACATGGCTGTTCTCATCAGGAAGGAAGGAAGCTGCTGAAGATGATATGGTGTATTAGTCTGCTAGTCGAAGGATGCGTTCTGATGTCAAACGAGTTAAGAGATGCTGGAAAAGCAAAAGCCTCAGAAACCTATTTATCCTGAAATAATCCTTAAATTTGAAGAAATTGGAATGGACTGATATTGTCAGTGTAATACTGTGCATAAAATTGAGTTTCTGTGTGCTTGCAAGAACTTGTCTAAAACTTCTTTATTAGCAATGTTGGCAAACAGTAGATAACTTTGGTTGCATGATGCCTGTGTTTATGCTGAATGGAAGCTGTGAGAAGTACAGGAGTAGCTTTTCACTGGTAAAGATTTATTGTCTCGCAAAACTTAAGAATGCTCATATTATATTTGTTCCTTTTGTTCGTAAATACTGTATATTTAGTTTTAGAGCAGGAGTGTGTCATAGGAGCTACAGCTCATAAAAGTCTGTTGATAACTTGTTCAATGAGCTGAATCTATTTTTGCTGGGAGGATTTGGAGCTGGGCCTCTTCAGGACTTTCCTGGAGGATAAATTTGTATACTGAAACAAACACACACACACACACACATATATATGTATATATATAGCCACTGGGGTAATTACACCTCAGTAAAGCTTGCTATTAATAGCAATTCTTGCTGTAATGTTTTGACATACTTTTTCTAGAATTCACGTAGTCTTTGGTCAATTCTTTGTTTTTCTGTAACTTTCTATACATAAGAGAATTTCTAGTTGTTTTACAATTACAATTTATTTTATTTTAAATAATAAACATATGCTGTGATATCCTTACAGAACTATTTTGTAGTTAATTGTTGTTTCTGTATTTTTCTGGAACTTTGATTTCTGTGGAAGTGGTAAATAAATGCATGCTTTGTGGAGTTTAAATATGAAGTACCTTTGATTTTTGCTGAATGATTCATGCGTAAAGCTCTCTCTGATGACAAGACTAAGATTTTTGGTCCTTGCATTTCTATTTCCTGTGCATGTACAAAGCACTAATGTGTACACAGTTGCAAGTCACCTATTAAAAGAAACTGAGTTTTTAAGGGGAAGTTTGAACGGTCGTTAGAGCTAAGGACAGAAAGCTCGCGTATCATCTCCAGTTCAGCTACTGGCTTATGCTGCCTCCTCAGATAGGTGACTTCAGCTGATTCTTAGGTTATGAGGTTCAAGATGTGCTGGGACTGGGTATCTCCAGGAGACCTAGGACTGGCTGCTGTCGTTTTGGAAGTTGAGACAGCAGTCTGTCTTGGTTCTTGTTCCTGTTGTTTCAGTTTGGATTATCTGGAAATGTGGTGACTTTTATGGAAGTCACATGAGCCAAGACAAGAGTTAAGTGGAAGAACATTACTCCCAAAGAGTGAACTGTGGCTTTCTGCCATGAACTAAATTTAGTTAATTACCATTTTTAGGTGATGCTCTGTTTAAAGAATAGATACTACTTTAACAATTTGTGCAATCACTGCAGCTGTCTACCCAAGGAGATGCCAGCCAGGTGATTGGGCCTCTCACAGAGGGACAGAGAAGGAACGTTGCTGTAGTCAATTCGCTATACAAACTACACCAGTCAGTTCTGAAGGTAGGCTTCGTATAATATTAATCTTCTTGACACAATGTGAAGTTCTTTGCTTTGTTGTGTGCTTATTTTCTCGTTTGCTGATGAGAACTCCTACAGATATTTTTTAAAGTGTTTATTTGGACAGCAACATAAAAGAAAAATTTTATGTGCAAATGAGGACTGAATTCCAACGACTGAATCTGTTTGATGTGTTAGCATATGTTTACTTCTTATTAGTAGTATTTTTTGACTTGCTTATTTCTTATTATGTATTACTTTTCTCGTAAAATAGGAAGCTATCAAAGACATGGATAGTACATAGTTCAAATGCCATAATGGAAATTCTATTGGCAGCTTTGACTGTAATAAATAGTAGAGAATGTCTTTGGGTTTTGATGAGGCAGAACAGTATTTTAGCTGGAACACATGCTACAGACTCTTAACGGGGTCAAATCACACATTGCACAACTCAGCTGAGATCACTGATGGTTATCTGGAGCTCATCAGTCAGTTCTGCATGTAGATGTCGCCAAAAAATAGCTCTCAGTGTAAGAATAGGAATGTTTTTAGGTAAAGTGATTGATATTCCTGGTCTATTTTCTCCACAAAAGACTTGTTTTCGGCAATGACAAAACCCTAAAAATAATTTTTATATTTGAATTTTCTGAAGTAAGTGTTCAAAAATGAGTTTGTAGCTGTTATTGGCATTGGCTTGCATAATAATGTGATCGGGTGATCTCATCTTTCTTACCCCCTCATTCTTCCTCCTGTTTGGTCATGATTTGATACTACATGATTTGTTCTAAAGCATCTTGCTATGCATTTGTGCAACACTTTTGAGACGTGGTTGGTGCTTGTGAGCACCACTGTGTTATAAACATGTGACTATTAATAGAGAAGTGAAAGATGTGTTTGTAGAGAATAATTACATCTCGCGGCTGTTGTTTTATGAGCCTAAACAATCATGCTCTTTCTGTTTTCTCTTATCAAGTAAGTGCTGTCCTTGTACTGGGCAGCCTGATAGCCTTTATCTGCATCTGTCCCAGTTTAGGCTTATCTTTCTCAGAAGACCCTCACTGCTTTCCCACAGTTGTAACCAAATTGAAAAGGAGAAATAAAGGGTGAAATCAGTTAAAGCAGCACGTCAGGAGTGTCTCCATGCGTTGTTACTGTGACCAAAGTCTGGCCTGGAAATGTTGTCAGGACTAAGCACAGTTACAAACAGTTCCGGTGTACTGATTCAGTGCTGCCAATGATCACACAGTTTCTGTAGATTAAAGCAAACAGACACAGTGGTAGTTGTAGTTAATCATGATTAAATCCTGGCCTCATCAGAAACAGGATGGTGAGTACTCCTAACTCTGGATATGTTTAAAGAATGTTAAAAAAGGCTTATAAAATTTGCTTGGATTTCGCAAGCAGATGGTAGATCAACTTTTAAGTCTGCTTTCTCTGATGTATTTAGTAATGAACCCCATGTGCCTTAGTGTTGGAGGGAAATCTGATATGATTCAGACTTTGAGTTTAGTAGTTATCTGGCTTTCAAATCTTCTAATAAAGCGTGTTCATAACTAAGGAAATTGGTAGAATATTCCTTAGTTCATTCCTTGACTTACAATTCAAATTTTATTATAGCTGTGCATGCAGCTATTTAACATGCTGCATTGTAACAGTCATAGTACTGAGAAACAATATAACCATTCTCTCAGATATTTACCATAGAGCTGCTTGTACAGTTCTCCATAGATCTTACACTTAGTAGTAGGAGATGCACCACTTAATGTTCTTCTTGCTCTGTTAACCCTTCAGCTAAGTTTCAGTAGAACTCAGTTGAATCATTTCTTTTTTCTTCAGTAGAAGCAGAGTCCATAGGAAATTTGACAGCAAAGGAGTGATACTGGTACATTGACAATTCTCTCTGTATAAAACAGATTTGGTAGTTATTTATGCCTATAAACCAACTCATTACTAAGAATAACTCAGCATATTTTTTACTGAAATTAAATGTTATGGATTCTAATCATTTGCTAAATGTTGAGTATTTTAACAATTACTTTTAAATTTTTAGGTTATTGCCAGTCAGAGCTCGTTTCCAGCAGCTGCTGAGCAAACAATCACAACTGCCTTAAAGGTAATTGAATGTCTGTACGCTCCAGGTTTAGGGCTGAGATTTGCTTTGTTTGTCATACTTAAAAAGGGCGCTTTAACTTCACTTGTGTTGATTTTCCTGGTATTATTTTGTGTCAGTATAGTCTTTATGCCAACAGTACACATTAATTTCAAATGTTCAGCTGTTGCATGTGCCAAATTACTGCTTAAGTAGTATTTGCATTTAAGACTATTCTTACAATGGTTAGAATCAAAGTGGCAATTGTGGCAAAAGTGGCAATTTGATTGTGACAATAAATATCTTCCTCTGCAGCATTCACACAGCAAAAATTCGATCTTTTATTATTACCCAACTCCCCCTGCCCCTAAAGTTGTGATCTTTGTGCTACCTGCTGCTTTTTTTCCCTGGGGGTTTTTGGTGAGGCTATGTGGATGACAGCTATCCGCGTCTACCCTGCTGTGCACTTGCCTGAGAGTGGTCGTGTGCAGGGGAGAGAAGGGCAGTTTGCTTCCCTCTGGGGAATGAACGGCTGAACAAAGTGTATGCACCAAAACATGTTATGTTTACAATGTCAGATTTTACTGCACCTTTTCAAATGAAAGCTTTACATACATACTTGTTGTAAACAGCCTTATTTCTGTGCTTTACTGATACAATCAAATGAAGATAAGTGTTGTGTTAGGCTTTTGTCCTTTTATTAAGCAATTTCTAATACAGAGTAATGAAACCCACTGCTGAAATGAAAAGGCAGCTGTGTGTAATGAACTGTTGATCCTTTATCAAGGTATTTTTGAGATGTCAAAATGCAAATATGTCTAGTTTCTGTTTCCTTATTTGTGTCTATCTTTTTCTTACTCTGTTTTAGGCAGTCCATGATCTAATGGGTAGCGCTGTTCAACCGTTACTGAACTCTGTAGGAGATTCAGTGGAAGCTATTATCATAACTATGCACCAGGAAGATTTTTCTGGGTAACTAGCACTATTTTTTTAATTTACCATTGCCTTAGTAAGACATCCTGCATAAACATAATAAATCGTTACTGCCACAATGTCCTTGCAGCAAGAGCCCTTGTTTGTTGGGGGGAGGTGATGTAAGATGGTCAATTAACACAGAAAGCAGAATTACACCTACCTATTGAAACAAATACTCTAATCGGGTAGCACCTATCTTTCCCGCCCCCCCCCCCGCCCCCAAGAGAAAACCAAGCAGGGGCTCCTTTTGTGCTTAAAAAACTCAACTCTTCTATTTTCGAAACTTTTTTTTTGTGGACAGTCCTCAGTGCTGTCAGCACGTCTTGTTTCTCAAGGTAAAGCATGTAACTTCAGATTCAAATCTGCACAGTTTTTTCTAAAGTATTATTGAATATGAAATGGTTCAAAAATTATGTTTGTTGAAAACTCAAGTTTATTGTATTGTGCTATTTTTTGTAAAATTTTAGATTGAAATTTCCAGTATTCTTTATGTGCGAAGATCTTCAGTGCTAGCTATACCCGAGTCTTTCTCCCTGAACATTAGTTTGGCTGGTATCTCTGTTCTGACATTGCTTATATCATGAGATCTCCTGTGGATGCAGATTTGGTCAGCAGACATCACTACTGCCTGCTCGTCTATTTTCTTTCTCAGAAAGTCACTGAAAATATATTTTCAGAGGCATTTTTTATTTTTCTTTTAACTTTTTTAAAGCAATATTTTACCCTCTCCGTCTTTTTTTTTTTTTTTTTTTTTGCTGAAACTAACAAAATATCTCTAGGTGGATAGACTGATTCCGGCCAAGGGCTAAGTTCTTTTAGATACTCAAGCCTCTGAGTTTGGGAGAGCTCTATTGGCTATGATTCAAAGAAAGAGACAGGTGATTATTTCTGTGTTTCTATAGTTTCTGTGCTGCTTCTGTGCTAATTAGACTGAGTCTAGAATCCTGGGTTTGGAGCAATCTAGAACATCTAGTTCTGTGCAGAGAATGCATTTGGAACAGGCTAAACTAGGAACCCTGTGACATGTGCTTATATTTTGTGATCCATTATTAGAGTTTTAATTCAACAGCTAGGACATTTAAATTCAGGGGCTGGAGATGAGCTTTAGGCTCCAGGCTGATGCAGGCTCTGCAAGTTGGGTAGGAGAGGGTAATTTCCTTTATCTTACGGAAAGAGGAATGACTGATAAAGAGAGGTTTTTGACTACAGTTTCAGAGACAGCTACACCCTCTCTATTCTGAGCAGAAATGAGACTCTATAATTCGTGCCACTAAGGGGAAATTACTTCATGGAGTAGGAAAAAAAAAAAAAAAGAATCCAATAGTTTTCTGTTACATTTTAAAGATTATTTTAGCTGCCCTCATTTCTTTCTTCTTTCTTTTTTGGCAGATCATTACCAAGCTCAGGAAAACCAGATGTCCCTTGTTCTCTGTACATGAAAGAACTACAGGGTTTTATAGCGAGAGTCATGAGTGACTACTTCAGACATTTTGAGTGTTTTGATTTCGTCTTTGATAACACTGAAGCCATGGCTCAAAGAGCAATTGAACTTTTCATTCGCAATGCCAGTCTAATAAGGCCCCTTGGAGAAGGTGGGAAAATGCGGCTTGCAGCGGATTTTGCACAGGTACACTTAATACTGAAAGACAGCAATACTTTTTCCCCCCACCAAAGTTTAAGCAGGCAGTTGTAGAAACCGGTGCATTCTGGTTCTGAACATTGTCTCTGATGAGATACTGAATGCTGAGAAGTGCATCCACTGAGTAGCTGGAGATCCCTCGTCGCTGTAGAGCACATTCAAGGAGATTTGACAGCTTCCTGTCAAATGACTGTTGTATTTAAATTCAGCTGCGTCTTGAAATTTTATCTGGCTTGTCTGACCACTTCACTACCTCCATCATTTGCCATCGTTCATTCCCTTCATTCTTTCTCTTTGTTCTAATGGTATGGTGTTTCTTTTTTTAAATTGTTTTATATCCTACACTGCCAGCATTGGTTAGTCACTGACTCACCTGCCTTGCAGTGTAGGAGATAAGCTAAAGAAATAGCAATATGCTCTGGAAGAACTGCACTTTCATTAACAGAAGAGCAGTTTTTTGTGGGATACTCTTCATGACCTGACTGACTCATCTCTCTCTCAGATTTACCTGTGTTTTTATACTGGACTAAAGGACAAAAATTACTAATATTAATATCCATTACCTGTCTGTTTTACTTGCTATGTTCAAATCTGCCAATAGTAACACAGCGTATGATGAACTTGCCAAAGAATACACATATGCGCTAGATTGGTCTGAGGGTACTTATTGTTATTATCCAAATGGAAAAGGGAATTAGACCCCAGTTGTCTACAACTTGAGCGGTGCTTTTGGCTAGTAAATAGCTGAGTTGAGAAAGAAAGGCAGAGAGGGGAGGAATCACTGCCATCTCCTTTTCTGCTTTGTATCATTTGCCTGTAAGTGCTCTAAAAGAAGGTAAATTTTTTTTACCTTTTATTTTGGCAAGGGGAGAAATTCTCGTCAGGATATGGAGGTCAAAACTGGTAAAGCAGGGATTTTGCCTAGCCCTCTGTCAGCGCATAGGAAGCCAAAGATGTTCATATGCAAAAAAGAGTCTCTCTGTGTCCCGGCTTGGCACATGCATTGGAGAGGGACTTCAGCTGTCATAGCCAACTTAAGAGATTGGTATTAGGACATTTCCATTTGGGACATTTTGTTTTGGATTTAGCTATTGCAAGAATCAAGTCCGGCTCTTTCAGTTTTTGGCTTCTCACACCACTGCCACTTTTTTAAGGTAGACTAATCCATGCCATAGCCTCACCTTACCTACTCTTGAGTAAATTTTTTGCATCCATATACTCAACACCAGTCTCTTACCATAAAAATTAAGTGGAATTTTGCCATTGCTTTCAGAGGGAAGGTTCAATTCCCTTCTCTGTTTTGAAGATAATGGCATAAAATGGGAGAGAAAAGGATGGTTGACTCCTCCTCTGGGAGGAATATAGATTATTTTTGTAATTTTTGCTGCAGTACTAAAGTGAGTAGTATAAATTTGGGAAATATCTGTACCTAGTTCTACAGTTGAGAGCATCTGATCTGAGCACCTATTATTATAAGACTAAAAATATCCCTCGTTTATCTTTTTAAACACATATTTTTCTTATTCTGACATGGGTTGCCTTTTATGTAAAAAATGACGGTATGTTTCCATCTTAGTGTGGGGGGATTTGCATGCTCTTCCCCCTTTGTGCCTCGTATAGCTCCTGAATGGACAACTGAATGAAAATAAGTTGTCTAATTTCTCTTCTTTTTTATTCTGGAAGAAAAGAAATCAGGGTAACATTACAGTCACTGGTTTTGAATTCTTTCTTGTCTCCTGCCTTCAGCTATTGCTGCTTCTGGGGAATGCTTTGTGATTTCTTCATCTTCTTATTGCATCACATTCTTGGCTTTTTTAAAAGTGGATTTAATACAAGAGCTAGCTGGGTCCAACCAGCTCCACGCAGTCACCTCAACGCTCTCTCTTTGACTATCTCTGCACAGAGCTCCTTATGGTGTCCCAGACCGCACACAGATTTTATTGTCCAGAACGTCCTAGTCTCCTGTTGCTCAGGATAATGGAAAATGGACTGAAATGTTTTGTATGTAAAGGCTGCCTCGTATCCATTTGGAGGGGGGGGCGGGGAATGAGTCTGCCCGTCCCAAAAACCTGACTGTTTTGGAGAATTTCTCCAGGAGGCCAGCTGCCTGGTAAGCCTGGCAGGGAGGATGTAGCTGCTCAGAACCAGCCAGGAGTCCTGGGCGCGTTCACTGAATATGCAGTCTGATTTGTGGCTGTAGTGGACAGGCGTCAGGGGCATTTCCTTCCTGTCATTTGTGTGGTGTGTCAAGGAAATGACTGCATCCCTCGGAAGGGGAGATTGCTGCTGCTCGGGGCTGAGAAGAGCCTGGAGCAGGTATTTAGCCAGACATCTGTCGTGGTGGGAAGGATAAGCTTTTCCTAGGGGCCATAAACTCTGTGTGCATAGTGTTTTCAGACCCAGAAAGGCACTGCATTTTTGGAGTAAATCCAAACCTGAAGGAAAGGACCTGCCTGGAAAGACTCTGTGTGTGTGTGTGTGTAGGAGGAGGTTTGTTTATAAACCGTTTTTACTTATGCTCGGTCTTGTGGAGTCATTTTGAATTTTCTCTATTCCAAAAGGGCTGTTTGTTCCTGCTTAAAATTGTTCTTTTGTGATTTAAAACTCCTTTGGCTGTTTTGGGGTTACTTGCAAGGAGAACAACTGGGCAGATCTACGTGGAAGTTTTGGTTTACTTGAGGTCCTATCACAAGCAGGTATGCAATAAGTCAAATAATATTGGATTGCATCAGACTTTGGATAGCTCATTAAACAGAGCTTGCACCCGTTTCTGTCAGGGTACTCACAGTTGGTAAAAAACATTGTTTTATGCTCAGCAGAATACCTTTGACTGAGAGTCAAATTTGAAAGATTTTGCATTACAGACTTTTTTTCACTAATAAATTGCCTCAAAGCAGCAGGTGTATGTACACAGAAGGGAGAGAGAACTGAGGTTCCAAGTCCTTATTCATTCAGAACTGGCTTTGGTGAAGTGCAGAATATGGCCAATTTTCTTGAGTAAGGCTCAGCTGCGTATGCAGTTGAGAATTATTGCTGTAATTCTGATGAACTTACATCCTCTGTTTTACCCAAATTCCACAGTGTCAATATTGCATTTTGTTATCCTGTGCATTACAGATATTGCAGCAGTTGTGTGCTAGTTTGGCAGCTGTAAATGAAGGTACAGTAGGCATGAAATAGGCCTGAATGTCATGAATATGATTTCATGAACATCAGTTCTTATAGGAACACGGAAGCATTTTAAACCCTGCTGTACAGGATCTTTTGACTTGCTCAGTATTCAGAGCTGTGAGAGCACCTGCACTTAGGCATACTGTGGGATCTGTGGTGCGTAATTCAGGCCTTAGATCTGATAGAACTGCTGGACAATACGGCAAAGGATGAAATATAGTATGATCAGCTGAGAAGTTTATTTAGAAGAAATAGGAATTCCTCAGTAATATGTAGCATAACAATTCATAGTCTATTAGTAAAGTTTCTAAGTGCTCATGGGAAAATAGCCATTTATTAATAGCACATACAAATCACAACTGCGTTGAACTCAACAGAATTGAGTTCAGAGTTGAGTCTAGAAACTGCAAGGAGTGAGTAATCCTTATGCTTCATGGCATGAAGGCACTATGTGTTTTCCCATCGTTTCATAGTAAAGGTGTATGTTTGCAGTGACATATAAAGCAGAAGCCACTGCCTCTGCCAAGAACCCCAGGTGATGTCATGACTGATTACTTTCAGCTATTGTCAAGTCGACCATTTTTATTGGTCCTGTTTGGGTTAACAGTGTTATATATATAGCTTCATATATTTCTTATCCAGGCGTCTTTCTGTCTGCTGGTTAGCGTATGGTCAGAATCTAGTTTCCTGACTCAGTATGTGGCATAAAAAAAGCAAGAATATTGACAGGCATTTTGGCTTTTAAAAATGTACATAGATTTTCTCCTTTGGTGAAGCATGACCACACAAATGTGAAAACTCTTTTTATCATTTTTCCTAGGAAAAAATCATCCTTTCTAGATTCTTATGGTGGAAGTGAAGGAAGCAGTATGCTTCAATCACAGTTGCAATTGTAAGGATGAAAACTACTAAAGCTAAAATGTACCTGATGTTTAATGCCACCTATCCTACCAGGAGGAGGAAATTATTTTCTGGTATGCGATATTTTTTAGGCAAGCTGAAAGATTGACTTAAACATCACTGTTTTGGAATTGCTGCACGGTAGAAAAGTCCAATTCCACATCCCTTCAAGGACAGCTTTTTTCATATAATAATTCAGAGCTTCTTCTACTCCCTTGCTTGTTAAAGCATTCTCTCTTGGTGAATGGCTAGAAAAAAGCATTTTGAGTTAACATTTAAAAACTTGGAATTCATCTTGGCCATGAGGAAATATAATTGCTTAAGAATTTAATGTTATGATTTTCCAAATGAAAAAATAGCCTTTTAGTAATGAGAGATCTTGAAAACACTACAATAGGCACTAAACAATAACTTCACTATGGATTTTTTCAAAGCACTCTTCAGTATATATGCGATATCTGTATCTAGAGTACGTATTAACTTTACCCTTGGGTTGCTGAACATAATCCGATTAGAGAAGTCAGCCATGTGATGTATTTTTTATAATATGGCTAGCCAGTGAATAGTTCAACAAATAATTGACCAACTAACTAGCCATGGGCTGTGAGAGGGTCATATGAGGAGGAAAGATAATAAAGCTTTTTTAGGCTGAGGGAGAAAGTCGTTGAGAAGAGGCACATGTTTTATATAAAAGTTGGGCAGGAGTCTGTCATTATGTTCTGTGAAGCATAGCAAAATAACATGAATAAATCATGAAAAAGCAATGGGCTTTGAACAAAGTTAGAAGATATGAAGCAGTCATTAGGCCCTCTTCCATCCTAGCTATCCCTTTCTTTTTGACATTCACATGCAATTCCTTTTGCTCAATTTCTGGCTCAATTTAACCTAGACATATGACTTCTCAAACGTGCAATTTTGGGAGAGAAATGTGGAAAGGCCGCCAAAAGTGCTATGCATACTTTCATCTGTAAAGCCCGTCAGGCATGGGTGCACAAAAGCCCTTGCCCACACGATACCAGTACTGGCTTGCAGACAGCCAAAAGCATCACCCAGCCTGTAGAAGCTCACCAAAATGCTTTGGAAGTTGTAGCTGTGAAGCATAGCAAAGGCTGTTACAGTGTAACCATATTGCATGACTCAACGGTTGATGAAGCTTCAGGTGATGACAGGTAACAAAACCAAAAAGCGATGCGTGTTTGGTTCTCTGCCCAATTCCTGCACCTTAAAAATAGCGGCTGCTCCAAGCGAAATGATTCTTCCCTAGCAGCTGCTCCTGAGCTGGCAGTGCCAGCGTGGCCAGCATGGCTGGTCAGGGAGACATGAAGCTCAGCACATGTAACAGCAGAATATGACAGCGGAAAGGTGCTGTAGCACCTCATGAAATTGTTGGACTCAGGCCAATAGCTGACGTTCAAATGAGAAAACAATCTTAGGTATTACTTTAATTCTAGTTGTTACTGGAGAGACGAGGTTACAACACCCAGCATACTAGTGCTGGAAATTAAAAAATAAAAAAAAAAGAGTTTCTGTGGTGTATGTACATTTTTACCACGTTACTTTTCACTCATTCCCACTCTTTGTGAGTCAATTCTAGATGGTCTAGTATGCTGCAAAGCTTAAAAACATTTTTTTGTCTTTGGCAGCTAGTACTTCACGAATCAACCATCTGCTGCCATTAAATTTATCCAGTTCTAGCACTACTAATAATTTCCTAGAGTGAATAAAGGCTGAAGACTAAGTAAGAGATTTTTCTGAAGTAAATGTTATTCTTTAGTGTTTAAGACCAAAAAATGTTGGTTTAGGGAAACTGCTGAGTATGTTCCAGAGAGATCACATAAATTTGTTTTAATAAATAATTGTAGAAATAGCTGTAGAAACAGTGAACAGGAATGGTCTGTAGAAACAGAAACAGGCATAGCTGTAGAAACAGTGAAGTTCCACTTATGTCTCATTACATCGTATTATATTTCAGGAGAGAAAGGATCATTTAAAACTTATTAAGCCAAATTATATTCTGCTATGCTGGGATCTCTTTCTCCCCACGAGTACAGTTTGCTCCATGCATCTGTGTTTTCACAAGTCAGAATGACAGTTTGTTGCCTATTAGCAAATTCCCTAAAGCGCCAAAAAGAATTATCTTCTCCCTACTTCTTCACAGCTACAATCCCACAGCTCCCACCAGAGCTGGGATACCAGCTCCGACGGGATATCAGTTTCTTCCAGCTACCGCTAGCCAATACTAATATTTGAAAAGAAGCTCTGAAGAAATCAGTCTTGCTCCCATTTGTTTTTCAGAGCGTGTGTGGGTGTTGTATCATGATGCAGCAAAGCCTGCTTTATCAGCTCCTCTTTTTTGGCCGCTTGCTCCTGATCCTGTGCAGCAGGCCTGCCTCTTGGCTCCTATATGTGCTCAAAAGTGTCCAGCTCAGGGAAACAACACGTTGAACTTGCACTAAGCTTCATCAGAGTTTGGAGTCGGAGCACCTCCCGGCAGAAATCCCTGGGGAGAGCTTGCCTGAACAGGCACAAAACGTTGCTCGCTTACGCCATTGAATTCAGCACAGCTGCTGACAGCTCCTTCTCAAGTCTTGGGACATGATTGCTCATCGCTTACATTTTGCACTGTTTTCTAGCGGACAGAGCGCTCGCTCAGGAACCAGGGAGCCGAGTTGTACATGCTCTGTAGTCTAAGACAGAGGGAGGAGAGAGGACCCTAGACCTCAGGCTACGAGGGGGCACAGGGCAGGGATCTCACCCAGCTGTTGAAGAAGGGCCAGCTTAGACTAGAGGACTGTGGGGCCAGGAGGAGAGCAGGCAGGAGGGAGCCTGGCTGTTGCCCAGGGCTAGAACATTAATCCGAAAACAGGAGAAAAAGCTTCTTATCTCTGCTTCCTGGGGTTTTATTCATTTTTCCCCCCCCCACTACGAGTTTCTGCCTGATATAAAATGCAGATAGATATCAAGTGGCTGGAAGTGCTTAACGTGGGGCACGTTCTGCAAGGTTTCTAAGCTCCAGGGAGAGGCTTTGCAGCTTCTGTAGGTCAGCTCTGTGTGCTCATTCCTCCATCTCCTTTCAGGTGTGCCTCCTCTTCTTTGCTGGTAGATGAACTGTGACAACAAAGTTTGCCGTACTGTCTTTGTTTATGATCGCAGTGACTGAGAACCCCACCAGCACAGTTGCGTGTTCTCTGTGAAGCTGGTTTTGGAGCAGCCAGTTCTGTTGGAGAAAACGCTACAATTGAGAAGAATAATAGCGCTAAAGACCTCATTGTACATATCGTCTTATCACAGATGCTTTGAACTAGCTCAGTGATGTTATTGAAATGGGAAGCTGATGTTACGGTGTTTTTGATCGGGTTACTTATTTTAGCTTTGATCCTTTGAAACTTAGTTTAATTTTACATTATGCGGAAATCAGAGTCTGAATAGTCCTTTAAGTCCATGATTTAAAAAAATATACAGAAAGAATAAAAGTTTGTATCCCTCTTTTGTTGACTGACACTTCAGGCATGCAAAAAATAAAGACTTAATCCATATCTGCATAAAATGACTTTGCCGTGAGGGGTTTTTTTTGGTGATATTGTTTGCATTATTGTGCATATTAACTGAAATTGTGCCATGTAATGGTACTGAGGGAGGTTCCATCTGGGATCTGAAGGTGAAATTGTTCTTTCTCACCTATATGTTTTCACCGGTAATGAAGATTCCACCAACTGGAATTTAGTTTTGTATGAGCGATATACAAACCCGAACAGAGTCTAGCTCCTTTTTGAAAAAGCAGTTGAGCTCCACAGTGCTTAAAAAAAAAGGGGGGGAGGGGGGGGTTTAAAAATGTTTGTTTCTAAAGATGGCTGCTGTGACTCAGAGCCCTAACAGGGAGCAGACAGTTGAGTAAGAAAACGATGCTCTTACAGATGCTCTTTTTGCAGTGGTTCCATATGACCCTATGGCAATAGGTCCCAGCTGTCTTCTAATCTATGTGGGTTTTGTGCCCCAGAATTTATGAGTGAGTATTTAAGAATAAATTACTTTAACCTTGTCCTTCCCTAAAGGAAAGGTTGCCTGGCTGAAATAGGTGTGCATTGTAACTGCTTTGGTAGTGTGTTGCAGAGGCATGCCTAGATTTGCTTTCTTCCCATTCTGAGACCAGATTTTTAAGATATTAACATAAATACTTCATCAGGATACTCATCACTAACAAAATAAACCTGCTGAGATAAACCAAGCATCAAAATCTCAGAAAGCTTGTGAGACCCCTTCTGTTACTTCTCATGGACAGTAGCTATTGTTTGTCATGCTACGCTTACTGTACCAGCCAAGAATAAGACGAAAGTCTTAGCTTGGGCAACGCAAAATGAAAGGAAAGAATAGCTTCTTGTCTCAAAAGCAGCCACCAGTGATAAGGTGATGACTTAGCTTGCAAGTTCGAATTATTTCTTAAAGGCAAACTAGTTATATTCTGTGTTTTATATTCTGGGGCAGTCTAATTCAAATTCAAATTTTTGTTTTTATAGATGGAGTTAGCGGTAGCACCGCTGTGCCGGCGAGTGTCTGACCTGGGAAAATCTTACAGACTGCTGAGGTCGTTCAGGTGAGTTGCAGTCACAGTTTTTCTGGCACTTAGTGCCTTTTACCTTTTGTTAGTTCCGACTGAAAGCTTTTTGGCGATATCCACGTGCAAATTAGAAACAGATGAACGTCTTTCTTTCCGCATTTTATGCAGAGTTTAACTGTGGTTTAACATTCTTAGTTATGCAAATGTTGGCCACATGGTACTTTTTGGTGTTGCATTCAGTGTGCTACTTCTTGTGACAGTGGCCTCTGGAGTTGCCTAACTTTTTATTAAAATATACAACCTACAGTCTTGTGTCGTTTCATTAAAATAGGAGACCGCCATAGATTTTTACAGTCCAAACATACTAAAAAACTAAGATGCAGACTAGTGGAAAAAAATGGGATCATTCTATCCCAGGGCAATATTGTCACTATGTGGATGTTACTCTAATGCATAAGATAAGCTTTTCCTTTCTTTCCCGAGTATATTGTTACATTTTTCCAGACCACTGCTGTTCCAGACCAGTGAGCATATTGCCAATAGCCCAGCTTTGGGAGAGGTTATTCCATTCAGCATTATTCTTCAGTTCTTATTCACAAGAGCACCACCAGAGTTAAAGTCACCCTTCCAGGTAACACGATTCATCTATCCTTGTTTCTTAGATGTCCTAAGGAGAGATGAACATTGTTGTTCGCCCTAGTTATTTTAGTTAAAAATTGTTCAAGTTCACGCTTGATACGCTTTGTTGGCTTAGCTTTTATTGTAGCAAAGGTATTACCAGTCATTGATTTCATATTTAAATTAATAGCAGGAAAACAGTAGCCTAATTTTACGTTCTCTCTCAGTTCTTTAATGTTCTGTCAGCTCACATGGACCTTCATTTATTTCATCTTTGTTTCTGAAATAGGTATGTGTGTCTCTCGTCACATTTATGTGTAATTGGTGTTTGTTTATGTTGCTGTTTATCAGAGGGCTGAGTGGTCCATTGCCCGCTACTCCCAGTGGCTTGATGATCATCCATCTGAAAAAGACAGACTTGCTCTTATACGGTAAAAACGATGTTTCTTTCTTTTGTAAATGTTTGACAATGGAGCAGTAATTTGTCTGAAGGCCATGGCTGGTCTTGAAAAGCAGAAGAGTGCACTATAGAAGATGTATCATAAATATTATTACCCTCTTCCCACTCACAGGTTGAGCTGCAAAAGGGGAGAAATTCATAAACTAACTCTCTCTCCTTCCCTCTGAAAACCGAAACCCTCCAGTGCCTTTGGAGAGCGCACATAATCAATCCTCTTTCAAAAGAAGTAAACTGCACACAGTGATGTCAAGTTAATGCTGTATTTTAGCAAAATTGCCCCTCTCAACCCTTGGAAAGTCAAGGCTGCAGCCATCCTGTCTTCTGTATTGAGAAAGAGAGACATTGAAAGCTTAAGCAGTGAAAATGTAGACAGGAATTTGAAAGTGGAAGATCCTTGTTTGTAGGCTCTGTAATGTTATTCACTCTTCAGGAAATCGGCTTCAGGAATCTTTTTGTTTGCCTAGTGTAGATGGCTTTGTAGGTAAATACTATTTTGAGTCTTAATGTGTTAGGAAAAGTTATGGAGAGTTTTTGCTCCGTTTTTTTTCAAAACAAGCTGATTTTTTAAATATATTAGAAAAGAAGTGCTGTATAAGCATTACACCTCCGGCATGAGGATCGTCTAGATTCGGGGCTTGGATGATCTTTCAGCTCCCAACCTTTCCAACTTCTGCGTGTCCTGCCCTGATTTTGGTGTTACCGCTTCAGCCCTGGCAGGAGAGGTTGTCGTGCAGAGCCCTGCCATACTCAGTCTGGCCTGGGAACCAACTCTGTCCTTGCACTTCTATGCATGGATGTTACCAGCTTTTGCTGAAATCAGAAACGCTGACTCTTACGTTCCAGTGAGCAGTGTTTCTGCTTGAGAAAACCCACCGTTATCTGTCCACACGTTTGTAGCAGGATTTGAAATACAGAGTCAACAGAAGTCTGCTATAAATATTTATAGTTCTTGAAGCTGATAACACCACATAGTCCAGTGTAGTGCTTGGGCCAGCAAAAAGAAATGTTAGTTCATCATCAGTGGATGTTAGTAGGATTTATTTCCAAAACACTAAAACGCAAATTATGTCTCTTTGTATGTTTAGAAAAAGAGTATTTTTTGAAGATCGTTTATGTCATTAGTCTAGTTCAGTTAAAAAAATAGGTTTTCTTGCATCTCAAACCACGAGACCTTCGATTATAGGGGAACGGATAATAGCTATTGGGCTGAGATAGCTGTGTATGTAACTTAGCTGTGAATAGCTTGATTGTAATCTCAGCCCTGATGGCTCTGGCAAAACTGACAAGATTGAATCTCAGATATGTTAGGGAAGGTTAGGATTGCAGGTCATATGAGAACCGATGGGCTTTTGTTCTCTCAAAGCCTTTTCCATGCTTCTGAAAATCGCATCCTTAAACTACAACGCACAGTTGTTTTTGCTTACAAGTGAACTTCATTCACAGTGGTTCAGTTAATGGACTTGCTGGTGGTCGTGTTCAGACACTGATAAAATGCTCCCACTGAGGAATTATTAGGCAGACCGTGCAAGGCTTTTAGGCAGAGAATGTCTTCTATTAGACCAACTAGCCCAGCTGGAAAGCTTAGGCAGGCTTTTCAGCCCTTATTCATGTTGCACGAGATATCACATCACTATTAAAATAGTTGAACTTTGTAAATCCAACCATGTGCTGCTGCAAGGATGTCACTTGAGCATTTTACAGCAGACTGATCCTTTTGTTTGGCACTGTGGTGTGGGATGGGGCCAGCCTTGAGGATCTGCTCTTCCCAAAGGCCGCCACTGGCAGTTCAGCAGCTCTTGCCTACTTTTGGCAAGCCAGAGCCAGGGTGTTTGTCACTGCCTCTGCCTCACTGTTCCTCGGACCTGGTCCCTGGTCCCACCTCCTGCAGTCCCACCTCAGCTTTGCTGAACCACATGAATTACCCTCTTGCCGGATTTGTAGAGCAGCTCTCTTTTTTTCGTGTGGTAGGGTTGGCAACACGTGTAGCACTGTATGTCCAGGAGCAAACAGCACACAGCAGGGACTAGTGGATGGACTAGCTTGAATCCAGGGAGCGTAGGGCATGGTTCTCCTTTACAGATACTGGTAACTTCTGTATGCACTGCCGTATGCCTTCATCTTTTGTACCATGTTCTGTCGTGCTTTGTTAGTCATTTCTAAATAGGCTGGTTATCCATATGTAAGGCAAGCAGCCAAGATGGAGTCACTAGCAGCACCCTCTATTTCACTCATACTGGATTTTCTTTAATTCTGTATTTGGAGATTTCTGAGTCCCCTGTTCTGTACTTCATGTGCCATGTGTGGACCTAAGTTGTCCTACAGGGATCTCACTCGCTCGTCTAGAATTTCACTGTTATCAGTCACCCTCTTCAAGCTTTTTCCTACTTTACTTGTACGGCTACACTAATTGGACTGCATATGTTTCAGGCCTTCAGATCACTGCACTGGCCTACATCCAGAGAAATTATCTTAACGTTTCATGCATCCTTGCAAATAGTAATTTTCTGCAACTTCACTTTGTGACAACTGTGCAGTTACTCGAGGGATCTGCTTCTTAGATATTAATTTACTTGTGTTATCACAACCCTTACGGCTTAATATTTAAACCTAATTGCAGTGTTTCTTGTGCTCTGTAGATCGTAAATTCTTTTTAGACAGCACAGTGTTAATATAGTGAATTGGTAGCTTCTGGTCAACATTTTTGTGCATTTCTTCCTGCTTGTGTTCAACATGATGGTTGGGATTTACCTGGCCAAAGGTAGATTAGCTCAGCTCCCTTTACTGTCAGCAGAGAGAAGCAGGCGCTGCTGGGGGTGATTCATCTCATCCTAAAGTAGGTACCAAAAATAGGTCAGTTGCATTGTGTCCTAAAAGCTCCCTTTTCTCTTTTCAACATGAAGGGAGCGTAGGCGAGTACATGGGAGATCTCGCAGGCAGACAGCTGCCCTGTAGGCTTTTAAAGCTAGGTGAGATGACCCTGCTGCAGGCGTTTTCCTGGAGCTGGGGCTTGTGTGAAAAGGAGCCCTTCGTTAAGCAGACAGACCGCTCTTCTGAAGTTTGAAAATTCAGCCTCTCTTCCATAAAAGATACCCTCCTGTTACACTCGGCAGGATTTGAGCGAGCTTGCAGGACAATTTTTATACCCAAGGGCCAAATCCTTATCTTAAACCATTCGAGTGTGGGTAAACTCACCTTATTCAGGCATGCTCCTTTCCATTGCTGGAGCGGAGATGAAGAGCTGGCCCAGGGAAGGGTTCGCTTTCGTAATGTGCTGATGTCCTGAGCAAGAGAGCAGCTCTGGCCACAAACCTGCCAGTTAGCAGCAAAAATGGCAGTTTGAGGACGACCAAATCAGCACCTGGAAGTTGTTTTCAGTGCCCCCCAAGCACGTCACCTGGCCAGCACCAGTTCATTCATAAAGACACTTGGTGTCAGTTGTTTTTGTTTGGCAGAGCACAGTTCCTTTGGTCTAGGTGTTATGCCATCTTAAATAGAACAGAGGTGGCACGTGTGGCAGTAATACAGACAAAGCGGTTAGATCTTCTACTGTTTGGTTTTAAAGTAACTTTTACAGTACCTAATTCAATAGATCTGGTGTCAGACAGCTGTACTCTTACACAGCATATTTTCCGTTTGCCTCTTTGCCTTGCGGTTTGCAGAGCAAACAGACTTTTAACAAAATGCTAAAGAAAACCCTGGCCCTCAGCCCGTTCTCTCAGGAGTTGATGCAGGCTAAGCAGGGCCTCTGTGCAACTGCCGTTGGCATCTCGCCGCGTTACGGGAGACCTCCAGCTGCCCTGTATACAGAGTATACAGAGCCCTACGCAAATGCTGAACAAAAAGGTGATCCCTGCCTCAGTTTAAATCACTGAAAAAAAAGGAATGCCCTAGCATTCACGGTACCATATACAATTAACTAATTAATTGGAGTCATTCTAAATGATACGCATTAAGATTCCTTTAAGAACCAAAGCCCAGATCATACACATCCTCTTTTTTTTTTTTTTTTAACTGTAGATATAAATCTTCATGGGTTGAAATAACATTTCAAAAAAGAACTAGCTGGGTCTTATATAATCAGCTTGTCCTGATTTCCAAGAAAGCTCATGTTTTTGCTCAAGCAAGTGAAGTAATGTAATAAGTGCTTTAAAATCCTTTTCCTTATGTGGGAGGGCATCTTAAACTTAGATTTTTTTTTTCTTACTTCTTATGGCATTTTTAATGAAGCATTAATATGTGCAGAACATCCTACCAACCCTCTTGCCATAGCTCTCTTCTACAAACAATATTTGTAATGTATACCGTAGCTGGTCTTTTAAAATAGAAGCAGATTGCTGAACAGGTTTTATGTCCTTTATTAGACTGGAAGATGCTGAATTTAGGGTATTATTTAGTCTAATCCCCTCAAGAGTATGTTTTGTATATTACATAAACAGGGTTTCTTCCGTCTTCTTAAATATCAGTAATATAAATATAAATTACATCTTTTATACGATAACAGCTGTGATGTTCTTCTGTGCTGGAGACTTGATGATACTGATTTCACCCATGATGCCATTTATTCTTTCATTACCACTTATGTACTAGTGCTTTTACATTATGTACTAGTGCTTTTACAGTGTCTTCTACAGGACATCTTTTTTTTAATACAAGATTTTAATGGCAAAGTGATGCATCAGAATTGAATTCTTTAATGCCAGGGTAGTTTACAAAAGCTGATTTGAGCTAAGACCAGTAAAGCTTACAAAAATATCATCACAAGACCTGCATTTCAAGTGTTAACATTGCTATTAAACGACCATATTGCCCACAAGGAGACGTTGTCGTGTAGACATCACAGCAGCAGTGGTGAAGCGTATTGTTAAAAGTTGCACAGGTTTGCCCTTGGTCAGCCTGAGCTAAAATCTGGCAACGCTCTTCAGCAAACCTGTTGTTTTGCCCTAAGCAGCTTCCCGCACTGTCTGTATTTCT